GGATGGCGGATTTAGGTGGGTACAGATTTAGAGATATAATATTTCTTGGTGGTACACTTTAGGGAGCAGAATCCATTTTTTTTTTTTTTTTTGTCTTTTTCCTTTTTTATCCGTACCAGGGATCGAACTCACGACTGCCTGCTTGCAAGGCAGGTGCTTATGCTGCTGAGCTAAACCTCCAGCTCCTAGAATCCATTTTTTAGTATTATTTTGCTGTCAGCAGCAGTGAGGTAAAAGAAAGGCTAGAGAAGAGAAAGAAGACGAAAGATGGGAGAATTGCTGTAGAACTGTGCATCACTCTTAGAGTGTTTTTTTTTAAGTAGGGTGGGAGAGACAACTGCTTTGTAGTATGAGATAGGTCTTACGTATTTCTTAGGCAAATTTTTTTTATTTTTTTCAAATTCTTCTATTGCAGAATTTCTTAAAGTGTTATATTTCTTAAAACTACTTCCTATATTTTTTAGTATTTTATTTCTTAGTCGACTAGAAAACTTTATGCAGTCATTTGGAAAATGCTGGTGGAGAGTAAGTTGATATTTTAATACTTTTTTTCTTCCTTTTATGTAGATCCTATTCCTCCTGGTCTAATGGAAGAGTGTTTGGATGGGGATGTGGAGGTTAAAACTGCTTTGCATGCAAATGGCTTAGCATGTGTACCTACCCAATCACTGAAAAAGCAAATTCAAAAAATAGAGAAAACCTTTCAAACTCAGAAAACAAATGGTAACCACGTGGCTTCTTCTAGAAATACTTCTGTATCTGTATTATCAGCCAAATCAAAACATAATATCAAGCAAAAAGTTCCTGTAAAAAGTCACTCAGAGTGTGGAATCACAGAAAAAGCAGTGTCACCAAAAGAACTGGGGTGTGCCATAAAATTGAAAGAACAGATGAATTCTGTTCAGACTCCTGTTCAGATCTCTACCAACAGTCAGCAGCAGGTCAAAGAAGCTTCACATGGGTCACTCCCTAGAATTCCTTGTCTGTCTTCCTTTAAAATCCATCAGCCATGCACTTTGAGTTTTGCAGACCTGGTAGAGGATTATGAACACTATATTAAAGAGGGGTTACAGAAACCTGTAGAAATTATCAGGCACTACACAGGGCCTGAAGATCAGACTGTGAACTCTCAAAATGGTTTTGTGAGAAATAGAGTTACTGAAGAAAGAGTACAGATACTTGCAAGTAGTAGCCAGTCTGGAGACTCAGACAGTGATAGTGATTCTTACAGTTCAGGGACTTCCTCCCAGAGTAAAGGAAATAAGTCATACTTGGAAGGCTGTTCTGATAGTCAACTGAAAGACTCTGAATCTACTCCTGTGGCTGGTTATCTCTCTTTGGAACAACCTCTGAATGGAAATGACATCACCAATCCAGAGGAATATCACGAATATCCTGAAATCCAGATAAAGACAAGGCATAAAGAAGGCTCTAACCAGAAAGTGAAGCAGAGCCGGAGAAACCTACCTAAGCATTCTTATCGATCGCAAGCACAACTTTGGGAAGATGATTATTATTATAGGGAAACATATCCTAATTTTTCTGATGCCTACCAGGATTATGAAGAATACTGGAGTGCTTACTATAGGGCGTGGCAAGAATATTATGCTGCTGCTTCTCAGTCATATTATTGGAATGCTCAGAGACATCCAAATTGGATGTCAGCTTATCACATGAATACAATTTATCTACAGGAAATGATGCGTGGTAACCAGTGATTATAACATATACAGGACCAAAACCACTGGAAACTATCAACAATGTTTGATAGGTGGATATCCATCTTCCTTGACCTGGGCATTTTTGAGGAACTTGAAAAAACTTCAGGCTTTCCACTGGGACATGTCTGTTTTTCAGATTTATTTGGTCATCTAGGTATATTACCTCTTTAAGAGACTTCATCAAACTCTTAGAATAAGAGTCCCCAGGTGCCATTTTCTATAAGCTGTTCCTAAAAGAAACATTTGGAAAGATATCATATATACCACTGCATACTTAAAAATAAAAACAGGTTTTGAAAAATGTTTATATTGTAGAATTCTTCATAAAAACTGTGGGCTGCTTTTTCTGTTTCTTTTTTTTTGCATGGAGACTAGGTCTTGCTATGTAGTTCAGGCCTAGTTTTGCCTCAGAAGCTTGGAGATCCTCCTGCTTCAACCTCCCGAGTGCTAGGACTACGGGTGTGCATCACCATACCTGGCTTTAGACTGCATTTCTCTATTGGTAGATTCCTGTGGAAATTTGTGGCACAGTAGATCTTTTAGGATCAAAAAGAAAGGAATGTTTAAAAGCGTTATGTTTTCCCAGTTGCTTGATATGGTGTTTGCATTCAGTGAAATATTTGTTAACAGTAAAAAATACATTTAGTCAAATGTATTGACATGTTTATTTCTCATCTTTTTAATGTCTTTTGTTCTTGAGGTTGTGAAAGGTGTCTATATTTTTACTGTGTATAGGTAAGGATCATAAGTGGTTGCCATATTTATGTTGCTTAGAGGATCCACTCTTTGTTGGTTCTTGGTTTCTTTTATGAATTGCATGAAAAGTTATAGGTCAGTGATGGTGAACCTGTAGCACGCATGCTGCAGCTGGCTTTTATCATTGAAAGCTCTAAAAGTTTTGCCATCACTGTTACATGTTTATCAGAAAATTTCTCGTTGCATAAATGGAACTGTAATTCTGAAGGATTCATAGACCCTCCGTAGCTCATGTGTGGGACCCAGATTAAGAATTGAAATTCTACTCTTCTAGTTCTTAGTAGTATTTTATGGAAGCTGGAGTTCATTCTTTTAGACTTATCTCACAGTGTGTCCTAATCTTGTCTCTTCTGGAAAAATTTCTCCAGTTTTTATGTCTAGTGCTAGAATGTGTGTGTGACAGCATTTTTCTGAGGTACATAAATTATGAGACAAAATCATAATTCTTTTTTTCTTATTCTTACCACTTAAGTCCTTTGATTCCTAGAACTGTGAACTCGATTTTGAGTGAAAAAACCCTTTATGTGGACCGTTTATTTGCTTTTTGAAAGTACTTTGCTATATACGTACTTGGCTAGGCAATATCAACACTTTTTCCTAGGCCTCTTAGCAAACTCCCACAGCCATTGTAATTATGGTTTAAAAATCTTCAAAATGTAGTCTTAAACAGTGTTTAACTTGGATTCCTGTCATTTGGCTTGGTGAATAGTAGGCCTTAATATGTACCAGTCCTGTACATGTACTGCCAAGTTAGAATAAATTAACACTATAGATAGCAAATCCATAATTAGGTCCAGTATGTCATTAAGTAGTAGAGATTTTAATTACACATTTAAATAAGAGCCTGTCATTGCTATATAATTGAACTTAATTCTTTTTTTACCTTCTCCCCCATAATCCAGGTATGTTCACAGTTTGTCATTGCTAGGGTATTTTAATTAGGATATGGCTGCTGCTTAATTAGAAATGAAGTTACCTATTTTAAAATTAATTGGTTTGGTCTTATTTTTGTGTTTGCTTTTTTCTGTCAAAAAATAAGCTAGGGGCGAGTATATGCATATTATATGAAAATACTAGTTACTTCAGTTTCCATAAGCATTTTTCAGAAAAGTTTCAGCTATTACCTTCCAAATAGGCAATAATGGTTGATGTTATGTTTGTGTCTGACTTTTATCAGTGTGTGAAAATGGCATTTTTGTTTGAAATTGTCATTCCAGGTGTTAGGAACCATTGGTTTACTTGAGAAATATCAAGAAAGAAATATTTACTTTGGTTCATGCACTTAAGTTTTTAAACCTTGTCCCAGTCATTTAAACTCTCAGGGTCCAGTTTTCTCAACAATAAAATGAGAGTTGGACAGAAACTTTCAGTTCCTTTGTAGTTGTAAGATTTGTTGTATGATTCACACTGAAGAGAATATTTTCTAATTATGATTAAAGTATCAAGTTTATGAATATAGAAAGGCTTTATAAATCTAGCTAAATTGGATGAGTGGTAGTGCAAGTTGGTTAAATATCTGAATTTTCCAATATGTTTCAATCCATATACTGTAACTACTCATAAGTTTTGAGTTAGGCTTTTTAGTAATAACCTAATAAAGAGATTTTTGAGAAACTTGCTCTGGATAATTCTGGCTTAGACTACAAATTACTCTTTTGACATTTAGTGCTTTCTAATGAAAAAGAAGAGGACTGGCTCAAAGAATATCTGGTTTCTAGTTAATTTCCACCAGGTTATTTGAGGTATGTATCTGTAGTGACACCTAGTGGGTGTAAATATGTGGCTCTCAGTGCCTAAGATGGTTGTGTTTGCACAGCCGGTTTCTAGGACTGGACATCATGCCTTAATGTTCCATTTCTGTTACTGTGTTCACTGATCAGGTGATTGGGGGGAAAATAAAAGCATATTTTTGTTGCCACATACCACCTGAGAAGTGTTAAGGTAAGAGAAGATCTTTAAGGTACCGTATCTGATCTAAGCCCCCATGTTTAAGATGAGCTAACTGAAGTGAGGAGAAAGTAACTGATGTGGAGTCATACAAGTGGGTGATACAACCTAAACTTCAGCCTTTAGCACCTCAAGCTTTCTACTGTATCCAGTAATTTAGAGTTTTAAGTTTGAGATCATGGTTTAGATGGTATGGAAATACGTATAATTAGAAGAACCAATCCTGATACATAAAGGCAAGTTTTTTCAACCCTCTTTCAAGGGTTTCTTTCAGTAACTCATTTCAAGGTTTGGCCTCGAGCTGTTGACAAAGGCAATCATACGATTTATCAGTTCAATGTTGACTTGTTCGTGAACATCCGTAACTAGAGCATAGGGGAGTCAAGAACCATTGCATTGGCTTACACTGAGGGAGCGGGATGGGCATCGTAGACTAAGCCTTTACTCTCCTAAGATTCTGTCACTTCCTAAGCAAGCTAGTGAGTTTCTCTTCATATTACCTTTATTTTCTAATGTAAGGCAATACCTTTGGGAGGAAAGGAGAATTGGTATTAAAAAAAACCATGCATATAGTCATTTTAGGGTTTGTGGCACATAGTTTAATCCAGATTGGATACATAAGGTTCAGCAGTGGCACATGACTCAATACTATAAATGATATAGATGTTTTAACATATGCACTACAGTTTCAAAAGAAGACAACAGGAAACTTAAGGGTTTTTTTTTTCCATAGAAAGTTTTCACGTTTATCTTCCTGCAGTTTTGTACAGTAGATTTCTTCTTTGCCATTGTGATGTTGGTAAGCAAAGCCCATTTATTAAAATATGAAAATAGAAAATAACACACTTGGTATTTTTCACAATAACATTAATGGGAGAGTATGACTTCTAGGGAAAACATTGGAATGTCTGATTATCAAAAATATACCAACCATCCCTCCCACTTCCCAGGTTTGTAAAATAGTCTCTTGGTCCAAGAAGCTCCTCAGGACTTGGGTTAGTGCTCTACCCTGGCTAGGGTGACATTAGCCAGTGTAGTTAAGTAACCTGCTAAGATAAATGTCATTCCCACATTTGATGAAGAAAAAAACATAGAACATCCTGGATAGAAAACAAGACTCAAGGAACTCAAAAGTGTTTTGTTTTCTGATAGCTGCTTTCTCTTAGTTCTAATGATGCCCTTCATTATGCTGTTTGGGCTCCAGGGGTCATAGGTCATTATGCTTTTTCCTTCATTTTAAAGCTTTGCAAATAATGAGAATTCATTAGGAAACTGGGGAAAATAAAAGTTTCTCAAGTTCTTGTTATGGTCACTATACCAACTAGTATACAAAAGAAACTAATACTGCTTTAAATTAACAGTGTTGGGAACCTTTTGCCTGGTAATTGGTAATTGTAGTGAGGGAGCTTGGATCATGAATCCATTAATGACCTCAAATCTAGTGTTAGTCAATTTTAACCACTACTGCTTCAGAATCAAAAAAGACAAATCTAGATACATAATGTTACAATGTGTACTTCCCCTTACTTATTCTAACAAGTAATTCTGTACTGTGGGAAAAACTGGATAAAATCCTCAGCATATTCACATGTTGATTTTTTTGGTTAACTGTTCACTCTTCAGATTCTGTGTGACTGCAGACTAATGTATACAACTGTCTAAGAATACTTATTGGTCTTTTGAAAGGTGTTCTGTATAGTTAGTCCTGAGCTTGACAATAGTTAGAAATGTAGTAGATGAGAGAGAAATAATATTTTGCTTCTGGATGTCCTGGTTCTTCAGGGTGGTTCTGAAAGGAATGCTTCCTTTCCTTAATCACCACCTTTTAAAAATAGACTCAGCAATGGAACACAAAATGGAAAAAAAAACCCAGGACAAGACAAAGTTCTGGACTGAACTTGCTATCAACCTGCTACTTGAACTTGGACAAGTCATTCAGCTGTTTTGTGCCCATTTCTTTGACTCAAGGATTTGTTATGTGAACTACTACCCTCACAGACTGTAATCAGGATAAAAAGGAAGCTATGCTTGGACTGTCATTCCCCTACCCTTCTCTTAGATAGTATTTGGCTGCAAAAACTTGACCATTCACTTGTTTACCTATTTCTAATGGAATTGATAGTCCATGTCCAATTCTACCCAGGAAATGGTGGTTTCCAAGAGACAGCCTGTATTAGTGTAAGCAAGTGATTTCTAAGGGCTGTGTCATTTACATGACTGTCTCAACCTGTAGCATGGGGTCTTTGATGACTCTTCTCCAAAGATTAACTCTGAGGGACAATGCATATGGTGGGGAAAACACTGGGTAATAACCAAAGGATGTGTTCTGATCCCAGCTCTGTCAATAAATGATTTGCATGACTGAACAAGTCACTGAATTTCTCTGGGCCTCAGCTTTCTATACTGTCGAGTGAATTAGATATTCTTTATTATCGTCTAGGTCTGGTAGTGTCAATATCGTATTTTCTGAGTTTCCATTTTAAATTTGAATGTAGCTTGTTACGTTTTTCATTTGTCTTTGTGTTTTTTAAACTCTACCAATACACAATGTTGAGTGGGTTTGAATAGGATAAATGATTGTGGAAACCTGTTTTGTTAAAAGTTGTTCATGAGCTGCATGAAGCTCAAGTCACCACACCAGAGATGGCCTGAGAAAACTGTTCTCTTCTTTCTTTGTTTACTAGCCAGTGAGTTTATTCAACTGACTCAGCACACTTTGGACCTATAAATACCTTTTAGCAGTGTAGTTAGGCTGCATTTTATTGTGTAGGTGAGCATTTTTCTGGTTTGAAATCTTTTAGGTCAGAGGTGAGCTGGGTTCCTTATTCCTGGTTAACGCTAGAATGAGGGAAAGAGATGAATGGGATAATCTTTTTTAAGAACTGGAATGTTGGACATGGTAAAATACATCTGTAATCCCAGCATTCCAGAGGCTGAGCGAGGAGACCTCGAGTTTGAGGTCAAGCTGGACCTACATAATGAATCCTTAAACCACCAACAACAAAAACTTGGCATAATGTGGGCTTTGGAAATATAACTGAAGCAATAAACGGTCCATGAGAGTCAATAAAAAGTGTGGAGAATTGTTTGGGACGTAATTTTTAAAAATATATTAATTTTTGTGAGGACTACTAATGTGCTCCCTTGGTGCACTGTCATAGTAACATGTAGATCACTGATTGAATCAAATATTATTCTAACCTAGTAAGGATCTGTTCTTAAATGAAGCATAGGCAGTTTGTATGTATATGCAACCATGTTTTAAACCTATTTGTCCCTTGTCATTTAATTATGATGTATGACTTCAAGGTAATTATGCATTGCTAACTTGGTTCCATTTCTTGTGTTTTCAAAAACAAGATCCTTTCCTAGGAAAGTCCTTTGTTTACCCCCCTAATGAAGTCCAACTAAGTTCTCTGACTTTCCTGATAAGTGTGAAGCGAATGGATTTAAGTAGTTATTCTGAGATAATATTTAGGTTGTGTGTGTGTGTGTGTGTGTGTGTACACACATGTTCTTCTATAGTTGTAATGCTTTTATGCTTTCTTTGACCAAGGCTCAGAATGCAACAACTGTCCCATTCCTATGTTAAGGGGAAATTCTTAAGGCTAGATCCAGAGATAGGACTGTCAGTGGCCAATGAAGATTAGCACAAGGAGATGAAGATAGAAAGACTGCTCCCTCTCCTCTGCCCTTTGGCAAGCTTTCCTTTAAGGTGTCATCTCAAAACCCTCTTTTTCTGCCTCAGGGTCACTTGAGCTGGGGTCCTTGGGAAGCCAGCTAAGGGTGTTTTTAGGTTCCTGGCTAGTATAACTCATCTACATGGCTGTGGTAGGCAGAGAAATTCCTGGCCTACAATTTAACAGCTAACCACTAAGTTGTAAAATGGAAAAGGAGCTCTGGGAGCTCATGTATATCAAGAGCCCAGTCTACAGAGATTGCAGTAGGGTACCTGGGGGTTGGGGGAGACAGGAAAGGGCTTATCCCTAACCTTGTGGCCCACTTTCTCTGCCATAAGCAATGAAAATGGTTAGATTTCCAGAAATTTCATTCCTAGGCCACCATGGTGCACGCTACTGAAATAAAAATAATCTTTACTCTCACTTTCACAGAAGTGATCTGGTTATCCCCTATGTAAGCTACCTTCAAAGATCAGTTCTCAAGACACTTCAGACTTTAAGTCATCTTTCAGACCAGGTAAAAGTCATCTAGAATCTGACTTGCTTTCATGCTTTGAAATATTCTTCATGAAACACTCAGGTTTAACCTTCTATAACCTCCACATGGGAATTGCCTCAGGTGAGAGATAAGTCGGGGGGACTCATAGTTCCATCCCACCATCCTCTCTGGAAGAAACTGCACCTAGGGTCTTTTACCAGGGTCCTGGATGGGCTTTACAGTAGATCCTGAAAGAGGGTATATAACAGAGTTCCCTAGGGCCGCTGCAGCTATGAGCCCTGGGTTCTATCCTCTTTACTGGTGCATACTAGAGGTGACAGCTTTTCAGGAGTTGCTATTTCCTTTTTTCATGATCCCAGTATAAATCTGTCCATTCTCTTTCTTCCCAGAAATGGAAACAGTACACACCAGTGGTTTTAGTCACAGAGAAGCATCTTTGTTCACAAAGTGGAGTTTCTTTACCCCTAAGCTCTCCCCCTTTCTGCTCCATTCTCTTCTGCATTTTCCTTCTCTCAGCTAAGTCTCAGTACTTGGCATAAGTCTCTAGTACTTGGCAGTGATGGAGAAGGCTGTACTAGCATGTATCAGGATCACTGGATCCATGTAGAGATGAATGGTTGGGTACAAGGAAACAGCCAGGGGGAAGCAGAGAGGTACATGGAGAAACAAAGGACATGGAGACACACAGAGTGTAAGGGCTGCAGTGTGGTCACCTGGCAGCTCTGTGCAGGTCAGTTGGGCAGCGAGGGCCCAGGCTGTTGACCTCACCCACCTGGGGGGGATGGAGAGAGAACTCAGCTGTAACTGACTTTACTCAGCTGTAACTGACTTTGAGCCTAAAAGCGTCTGCTACAGAAAGAGAGAGCGAGAGACAAGAGAGAGAGAGAGAGAGAGAGAGAGAGAGAGAGAGAGAGAGAGAGAGAGAGAGAGAGGGAGAGACAGAGAGAGAGACAGAGAAAGAGAGAGAGAGTGAGAGAGAGACAGAGACAGAGAGAGACAGAGAAAGACAGAGAGAGTGAGAGAGAGAAGGGAGGAAGAATAAGAAGAAAGAAGAAGAAACAACTCACAAAATGCATTGTTTTGGTTCAAAGGTGCTGGGTCCATGGAGAAAAACTTCACAAAAATCCGTTGGTATTTTTGTTTTCCACCTTTTCCCATGAATAAATATTATCCATTAAAAGCCTTGAAAAGGTGCTTAAATACACAGTGTTATATTTTCTTCCTGTTTTGCACGTGACGACTTGGCCTCTGTGCTGCTCTTGGTCTTGTGTTTTCCTCACTGGAGTCTCCAGAAACAATTATTTGGTCTGAGGCCCCCCTCTAGGCCCTGTCCTGGCAGGCAGCCTATACCTGCTACTGACCCATCCCCTACCCCCCTCCCTCCCTTCTATCTGGCCCCAGTGAGAAGCAGTATCACAGGGCAGTGTCCATGCCAGCAGTGGGAACCTCAGGTGCCCTTGCTATCTCTTTTCCTTTCCAGGCACAAGTCGCAGTGCTAGGGGTGCCATGGCCAGGCAGAAACTGTGAGGAAAGGGGAAGGAGTGGTCCCACCAACATGCCAGGCCCCTTTTACTCCCCACTACCCCTGCCCTCTGTCCAATAGTTTTACAAGGCAGAGACCTTGACAACATTGCTGGCTATGGAAGGAATGTTCGTGTTGGGGCCTGGGCTGGCAGGCGGTGGCCGACTTTCCCCCTCTGGGGTTAATGCTGGGGGTGTGGGAATGCTGATGATAGCTGTGGTGATCTGGGATGTTTTGCAGTTTGGTCTCAGTCCGTCGTCTGCTTTCAAATTAAGGCTGGAACGACTGGGATAGAAAAGAACGAACTGGTGATTGTTCTTGCTTGGAAGCATCCCAAAGCTTCCTCAACTGCATGCATTTCTTGCTCATAGGAAGTAAGACATTTTGGTGGCCCACTATCTTTGCCTTTTGTAATTCCAATATTCTAAGTATTATTCCTAAATTATTAAAATTACAAAGTCATTTTAGATTGGGCTTTGGAATTCAAAGTAAAGCCCCCCTCCCCTCTACAGTGATTATTTACCTATTATTTGTGAAATTTGACATTTGTTTTCCCTGAATTCTCTGCAACTTATTCAAAGGTAGTAGAAAGTGCCTTAAATATAAGCAGAAAATGAAGGGAAAAGTCCGTCTGAGATTCAAAATCAGCTTGGAATAAGTCATGCATAACTTGATTGGGAAATTATTTCCCTAAGAAAATGGTTAGCTCATTCTTTGCACTGAAGTGGGACAGTCTGGATTATTTTGAGGTTTTTCCCCTCACTAATACCTAATCCCACTATTGGCCTAAAACTGCTATGCCATCCTCCAACAGCCTGTGAGGGCCTTTGGGTTAACTTCACAGGATGAGTAGGAAAGTGGAGTGACTTACACATTAGATAAGGGGGAAGGGTGACTAGAAAAGCCTGGGTTCTCCTATCGTTGGCTGGGATCATTTAATTTTGTGAACAGAATGACTCAAGCCTTGGGGGATGACAAGATGGAGCCACGCACCTGGTAGTGAGGGAGGGCTGCTCACTGCCCTGGATGTGAATCGTGCTGAGCTCTTGCATGCTGCGCAGGCGAGTAGCTGGCAGGTTAGAATTGGGCAGGTGTGTGGTCTTCTTACTGCGACGGGAGCAGCAGGTGGTAGTGAGGCCTGGGTGGCTGGACAGTGAGGGACTTCGTGTGGATGGGTAGTTTTGCATTGAGCTCTCCATGCAGTTCTGCTCAAACATTTGTTCATCAATAAACTCGTGGTTCTGTGGAAGGCAGAAGGAGAAGAAGTAGGAAAAGGAAAGAGAGAGGAAGGGCATATGCCCAGGTTCTATATGCTGCCTGACCTTGTTCTGGGCCTTTGAAGGGAGTTTTAACAACTGCATGGGTCACAGAAAAGCATTTGGGAGGAGACATCCAAGGTGGAAAGGAAGAATCATACTGGCAGTCCTGCCCATCAGATTGAAGTGTAGCAACCACAGCTATTAAGTCATGCTATAGCATATTCCCCACCTACAGCTTTGAGTTGAAGGGACTTAGAAGACATGGAGGGATTCAGTGGCGTCATTAGAGTGCAGGCAAACACTTTTCTTTGCAGGTTTAACCCAAGATCTGCCATAAGCAGTAGATAGAGTCCCTGGGGATGAGTGTGCCAGATTGTCTTTTCTGGATCATGTAAATTCTAAGGGTGAGACATAGGCTTTTAAAGGTGCTGGAACATTCACAGAACTGGAGGGGTACTGTGCTTGAAGGTGAATAGGGTCATACTGTAAGGGAGGATTTCTTTTAATTATTGTTTTTCTTTTATCTTTCCACCTGATTATGGGATGTGAATCTTAAATGTATCTGAGGCACAGGATTCCCTAGGTCAAGTGTAAGTATGTGAATGGTCCCCTCACTACAGGGCAAGAGGATAGCATGTAGTTAAAATCAAGATAACTAAAAATGGCTGTTCACCCAAGGTTATTAAAAACAAAGGCATTAATGGTCTGGAGTAAGGACTGCAAGAGTGAGGAGAAAGTCTGACGACAAGTAACAAGAGCCCAGAGTTCAGCCCTGACAGCCAGTACCAGCCATCCCCAGGAAAAAGAGATAGAATACACAAATGTGGCAGAGGAGCACTCACAGGATGCCACTATTGGTGCCATATTCCCCTTTAATTCCCTGGAGAAGTCAAAGGAGGGGACTGGAAAAGCAATTGGGTGGTTTAAGCATAAAAAACTGGAAATCTGAACTGTACTGGGTATGACAGAAGGGACAGAAAAAGCCCCAGAAGAGTCAGCAGCACATGCACAGAGCCAGATAAGGGAAAAAGGAGGAGAATCCACATACTCAGAAGAATTAGAGAGAAAAACATCAATTGAATTTTTAAAAAGTTATACCTTGATGATGGAGGTTCGTACAGATAACAGGGGATCATCCACAAGATAGGACAACCCCTACAGGACAACATGCCAACAGAAGATAAAAACACCATTGATTGTACATTCCAGCATTCCCAAGCCAGTTTTGACATTCAGTCTCAATCCCAGCATTCCACACTTTGAGTTCAACATTCCATCCCTTCTTCCCAGCATTCTGCCTCCTTTGGCCAAACATCCCACCCCTTTGACTGCAACAGGACCCTTCTCCAATTCAACATTTACTCCTTCCAGCCCAACATTCTTTCTCATTCACCCCTTGAGTCCAACATTCTCCCCCTAAAATCCAGCATTCCATAGCTTTCATCCCAATATCCCATCCCCACAATCCAACATTCCCTCAAACTCAGCATTCCATCCTTTGCAATGCCAGCATTCCATCCCTCATTTCCCAAATCCCATTTATTTAATGTCAACATTCCAGCCCTTTAAACACAAATATTTTCACCCATGTCCTTCTGGTTTATACATTCCACCTGGCACATGCAACTCAGAAAGGGCAGTTGGTTCTGCGCTTATCCCTTTGGCAAATTCAGCATCCTTGAGAAAAATTCTAGTTATGTATATAGTTTTTAGTGACAAATCACAGAAAACAGGGTTTGCAGAGCATATTTACATTTTGGATGTCCTCAGTGAGTTCAACTGCCATCCATAGTAGCAACATTGAGCTCAGACTAAGAGTCATCTAGCATCTGTTTCCTCCACATCTGGGAGACTAGGGTATGGAGTAGTTAGAATTAATTTGGAAGCAGAAAGTTCTTTCCTTAAAGTGCTGAGCCCTGACTACAGGCTTGTGGGGAGGGAGCTTCAAGAAAGGCACAGGGATGTTTCACTTGGGCTTATTCACCCTGACTTCTTCCTCTTTACTGTTCCTAGAACTTTTTGCCAAGGGTCCAGCACTGGTCCTACTGCCCTTCCTTTCAGGCTGTTAGTGAGGCACAAGCACCATTCACATTCCAGCTGTGGCTCCCTGAACCTTGATTCTCCAACAATCAGGCTTTTACAATCTGGGCTCCCTAAGAACTACAGGGTCACTGAGAGGGATTGGGACTAATAAATCCCAACAGAAATACATGTGCTGCTCTTTTATTCACTGCCTTCTGTTCCAAGGGGAATACGGGGTACAGAGGGACACAGATTGGGTTCACCTAGCTCTTCTCTACTTTGCTGTGCAAATGCAACCTGAGCTTTGATGGGCAATGCCCACCAGAACTAAGACGTAGATATCAGTAGTTAGGCCTTGAATTGCAGGAATCAAACAGGCTGTAAGGGCTGGCGTGGACTGTGTGAGCAGGTTGATAGGAATGGCTTCAACTGTGTCCCTGCAGGGCAGAGCAGGCCCCTGCCCTGGTGATCTCATCCCACTCTGGAGGCTCTTACATCTAGGGGTGACCACGCCTCATCTTTCCCTTTTGGACCTGAAGGGAATGCTTCAGAATGAGGATATGAGTATAGCCTTAGGAGGAGGTCAGAGGTCAGGGATGACAAAGGTGGGGACTCACAGTGGTCTTTTCCAGACAGTGCAGCAAGTGATGATGCTGACTCTCAATAAGTGAGGTGGTCTTGCCCATGTGCTCCTCTTCTGGCGTGCCCTAGTGGAAAAGAAGAATGACCAGTAATGAAGATCCTCCTCTTTCCATGGAAGACAAGAGGGCACCAGTAAAATCTGGATGAGCCCAACTTTAGGATCAACACTGAACATACTCCTCTTAGGCAGGACCCTTATTTATAGCTGGGTTAGTGGTGGTAGTGATAATTCCAAGGGAAAGATGTATACATGGGGAAAGTCTGGAAACATGTCCTCTTCGGGTTTCAAACGGGTTTTGGGAAAGAGGGTTAGTGTCCTTGGAAAGAGAAAATAAGTCCCTCTTGACTTTCATGTCCCCAGCCAGTGTCTCAAGTTACCTACCGTTAGCTCCAGTGCTTCATTGAGGAGCCCATTTCGCTTGCTGTGCAGGTAGGCATTGGAGCTTCCTGTTTTGGCCACACGGATCCTGGCAAGGCGGGCCTTCTGTGATGGGCAGAGATAATTAAAGAGTGAGGGAGACCAAGATACACAAAGTAAACAAGGCTGGCAAAGTGGGCACTGCAAGGGTGATTGATAAAGAGGAGGCAGCTCCTGCCTCCTGGCCTCCTACATTTCTGCTGAAGGATCTGAGATGCTGTGTCACCTATTTTGTGCAGGTTTTCATGGTCAAAATTCCAAGTAGTTTTTGTGCATGTCCTCAGCCTGTGTGTACCTGGCAGGAGAAATACTATTTACCCAGATTAATTTTTCTCCCAAAGGTTTCATGATCTTCACTCAGTATTACACAGTGTCGTGTGCTGTTTGACTGAATGTGTATTATCTCTGAATTAGACTTTTCCTTAAAGGAAAAGTGATGACAGTCTTGATTTTTACCTAGTGTCCCGTGCAGTTTCCTTCATATAGCAGATTCTCAAATATTACTTAATTATGAGAAAAGCAAGGAGTGCGTCTTAATTTTCTCCTTTTTGTCTCAACACTTATTACTAAGATAGTACGTTATACATTTATCTTGCTACAGTATCTCTGCCTGTTAGAATGTCAGTTTTTTGAGGACAGGAGTTTTTGCTTTGTTTATTGTGCTTAGTAAACAGATCTTCAATAGTTTTGAAATCAATAAATATTTACATCTGTCCTCGGGGGTGATTCATGTGTGGATGTGCTCACTGCTGTGCATGTTGGTGGGAATGAATATAGGACACAACAGATGAATTGATATATGGGTTGGTGGGCTTCCATATGCCACTTTGGCTTTCAGTAGTATAATTAAAACTCTCCCCAGCTTCAACCCAGGAAGCCTTTGGCAGAGAAGCCCCTATCAGAGAGCTGCATAGTGTCTCAGGCTGTGAACTCATCTCCTTGCTTGTAGAGGAAATAGGAGAGGCTGGACACACTGCCTATGCTGGATCTTCTTCCTAATAAACTTACTCAGTATGGTGTGACTGTGGTACAGCCAAAGACAGGACTAAAACGAAGGAGTTTTGGGACAAGGATAGAGGGGTTCTTCCTGGTTTGAAAAATGTGACTTAAAGTGTGAGTCCTATAGATTTAGACTCAGCTCCAGCCTTGGTGTAGGAAATAGAAGAGCCTTTAAGGGTTACACACCCATTCTAGAGTGGAAGAGATCCTCTTCCTGACTCTGAGCAAGTCTGCAGGTAACTTCAACCTGGACTTTGGGCAGGAAATTGATAAATTGAGGCAATTTCTATTTTTTGTCACTTCCTAAAGTATACCCTCCAAGTGTCCTAATGGATTGGTACATTTGCTAAAAGGAAACCATGGACTCAGAGGTTCAGGTTGTCAGCAAAAGCACCAAGGACATTCTATATCCTGTTTCCTAGAAAGTCCCCTATTGAAGGACTCTGTCCTTGCCAGGACAGATTGGCTTCTGCTTGTGAGGAAGAGGCCATGACTTGAGCCTGAAAGATTCTAGTAAATCTGAGAATGGCTGCTCTTCTAAAAGGGAACCTGGGAGGGAAAGGCTGGCATGCCAGCTGTGTCACTCCTCTCCGAGCAAGGAACATTAGCTCAAGGTCTTCTTACCCATAAATCCTATTTCCACCCTCCCCACCAGCTAAATGTTTATATTCAAGCAGGTTCCTCATTGTTTTTGCATGCATTGCTCTGGGTGAACATTAGGTATTGAACATTGTATATGGAAATCCAATTGTGTCAAGCTCATCGTAGCCTTATATAATCTGATTGCACTACTTAGAGCCAGACCTTTCTCATATTTAGGATCTGTCTTCCTTACTTTCTAGAGATGAAAGATTCTCCTGTTCTGCTCTGTGGCACTTCTTTTAATCTTATCTTACTCTGAGCTCTATTAAAGCAACAGATTGAAACACCAAATGCACTATATCGTTTAATCAGTCCCCACACAGGATAAAGAGATTTGTGGTGTATTTAAAGAGCTATATCTAGCCTATGAAGTTTGGTAGAGTTTGTTGCCTTGGCTTTGAGATCCTTAGGGCTGGGGCCTTTGCTTAATTCATAATTCTATCTCTAGCACACACACAAAGCTCTTCACTAGGCAAGTGTTGAAGAAAAGTTTGTGATGGCCAAGTTAAGAAGATAATCATACCTAGTTGGTTGCAAGTCTGTGTTTATAAAGCCATTGTTACAGGCTCGGGTCTTGTGTAGACTACTCAGCTTCACCCTCTTCTGTGGCCATAAGAACAACGTGAAAGAGAGTTTAGGGGACTTCTAAGCCACTTGTAAAACACACATGCACACATACTCACACATGGACACACACAAAATGTGTGAGGGAAAGTGACTTATGCAGGCCAAGGAAGTAGACCCAGAAGACGTCACAGGTCTTCCAACTTTCAAGCCAAATGCTGCTTTCTCAGTGTTTTCCTCCTCGCCTTGAATTTTAACTCCTGTCTTGCCAGTTTCTAAACTTATAAAGCAAAGTCCAGGAGGCTGCATTTTCAATAGGGGTGGAGACTCCAGGATTGAGGAGGGATCTGGAAGGAGACTACTGCCACCTGGTACTGTTCCAGGCACTGTTTATGATCAAGATCATGATGCTGTCAATTCCCGAGAAGCTCTTCACAACTGAGCATTTTCTAGCTAACTGGTTGGCAGGTACCCTTTGGCAATAAATATTTATATCTCTTGTTCTGAAAGAGGCAGAAGGAAAAAGGAGAAATGGAAAATCTAAAAAAGAACATAGGCAATTATACTCAGGCATTTATCCAAGAGAAATTAAAACTTATGTTCACATGAAAATCTATATATGAATTCTAACAGCTTTATTTGTAACAACTAAAAACTAATTATCCCAGGTGTTTGTCAATAGGTGAACAGTTAAACTGGTACATCCACACCATGGAATATTACTTAGCAGTGAAATGGAATGGATCGTTGATACAACTTGGATGACTCTAAAAGAATTATATAGAATGAAAATAGCCAATCTCCAAAGGTTACCTATTGTATGAGTCTATTTATATAATACTTTTAAAATGAAAACATGAATAGGAAACAGATAAATGGTTGCCAGGAGTTAACAACAAGGTGGGAGCGTGGCTCTAAAAGGGTGACACAGGGATCTTTCTGAAATTGGAACTCTTCATTGTCACCACTCTCAAACCAGTGTTCTGCAGGAACCCAATAGGTGATAACATTGTAAAACACACAAGTACAAATAAAACTGGGATAATCTGACCAAGATTGGTGGATTGTATTAATGTTCATAGCCTGGCTGTGATAATTGTATTAAAGTTCTATAAAATGTTACCATTGGGCAAAACCTGGAAAACTGTACAAAGGGCTTCTCTGTACAATTTCTTACAATTACATATGAATCTATATTTACTTCAGTAAAATATTCCATTAAAAACAAATAGTATAATCATGCATGAGAGTCCCTCTTTTTGGATACTCCCCTCCCCATTTGACTTCTAGTTCTTTTGCCTCAGAAAACAGTTTCTTTTTAAAATTTTTTTTCGTCTTTATCGATACCAGGGATGGAACTTACACGACCGCACACTTGCAAGGCAGGTGCTTATGCCACTGAGCTAAATCCCCAGCCCCGCAAATACAGTTTCTGAAGCAAAGCAGTCATTGTGGATAAAGATTACTACATAAATTTCTTTTTAGACTGTTATACCAAAGGGCTGTGGGCTGGAACTTATCTTAGTGGCCACTGTAGCTCCCAGGAATGTGTCTGGGCTGAGGACCATTGGTAGCCCCACTGGACCTCACCCTGCCCCATCTTCCACTCCTGTGAAGTCCCCTGGACTTGTCTGCCTTGGCTCACTATGACAGAGTCAGTGCTGGAAGCCAGAAGTCTTGTATTTTTTTCCCCCTCAGAGGAAGCCCAATGTGAGAGAGACAGACCTGCGCAAGCTTGAGGAGAAACAGTGTCCAGGCTGGGTGAAAACACTGTTAAGTGTTTACTCTGATTTCAAAAGAAGGGAGAAGAGGATGAGGGGCAGGATGGAGACTCATCTTGAGCAGCTAGAGGGAGGAAGCCAGAATCTCTTCTGGATTTTGACCACATACAAAATGAGCTTTATTTGGCCTTGGGGGAAATGTCAACTTTTGTATTCTTTGCACACGGGACGCTGTAAGAAATAGGTGGGGATGTGAGCATGTAGGGACAGGTGGCTTCGGGAGCGACCTAGAACCCAGCTGAGGGGGGTGGGTTCTCGTTCTGCCAAAAACCTGCACTAGCAGGCTCTGTACTGGCATCAGGGGTAATATGCATCACATAGGATTCCTAGTCCTTCAGGGCCTCAGGCTCCTAGATTTGGATGAATTTTTCTCTTCCCCTTTATTTAGAATTGCATGATGTATTTAGGCTATTGTCTGAAATTGTGAGCACAACTAGGGAAACAGATTAAGACTTCCATTTCTAGTGTGGCTGCTAGCAGGTACAGGGGAAGAACTCTGGACTTGGTTGGAAAGATAGGAGATGAGCTGGCGGGATGGAGAGGATACCAGAATAGAAATCTTAAGACTAGCAATAGGTCAAGATATGTAAAAATATAGCTTAAACAGAAAGGCAAAACAAGAAGCAGGTGATCATTAAGAGTACACAACTGGTGAAATGGTGGACCTGGGAAGAAATCATATTTACTACATAATTATATGTATATAATTAGATACATGTATATTTATGTGCATATGATTATATTGTGTATATTTTTGTATTAAAAATTTATCTCTATAGATTATACAGTACTTGTTGTACACTTTGGGGCTAGCTTTCACAAACTTGTGTCTGTGTTATAGTCAGCATACACAGTTCTCTTCTTAAATTCCAGATGCTTTTGATCTCACTTAGCAGTTATTCCTGGCAGTGGGAGGAAATAATACAGCTGCAGGCCTGCTACATAGTAGGTGTTCAGTAATGTTTGTAGATAAATGAATGAGAAGAACAAAATAAGGAGAAAAATTTCCTAAGCCTCCATAAGCTTTCAGCTAGGTTTTGTTTTGTCCTCTGTACCCAGAGGCTCTGAACATGCCTCCTGCAGGTCAAGATACTGCTGTAGGGCCATCAAGCGTCAGCTTTCTCAGGACAAAAATGACAAACTCCCCCACAGACATCCCTTTTGTAATAGAAGCCATGGTAAAAGTCACTGCTGGGAACCTTCTTGAGCCAAATGCCTTAAAAATGCCAGCATGTGAGAGGTGGATAAGTAGAGGAGTTGTTTTAAAGAGAAGGTTGAGTAGTAGTCATAGAAGGAGCTTGTTCCAAGCTGCAAGCTCCCTGACATTCCCTCCTTTCTAGGGCAGGTGATAGTAGTTTACCCCTCTTAGCTGACTTAGAGTATATCCTGGGAGTATGGTAGAATTTTCTCAGTACTGAAAATTCTCCAGGCCATCGGTTGAGTTTCATGACTTTATCCTATGATACTGTGAATGTTTCTAAAACCTGACATGTGGTTTATCCCTGAAATCCATGGCCTCAGAATATTTTCTTTCTTTTTGGCCCACTTATTTTTACCACTAGGTTTTCCTAGGCCATTACAAGATATTAAGATGAGATTATGTTTCCCAGTAAGTTCTTGGCTGGATGAGGGAGGAGCTACCAGACGGTTAAATAGCTTGGCTGAGGCAGTGGAGATGGGACAGGCTTAAGGAGTTGAGATGCCAAAGAATATCCACAAGGGGGAATAAACAGCTTATAAAAAATGGAAGATGTGTTGGGTTTTGCAGCTGATAGGGGTTGGAGTTCAGGTCACTGGTGGGTAGGAAGGGATATGAAGCTGCCTTACATTCCCACATCAGAGGCTTCCTGTGTAGGATCCTCTAAGTGACCCCAGACCTGGCAACCTACCTGTACCTTGTGACCCTTATGCTTCCTCCCTGTCTTATCCCTGTGTTTGTGGCTTACCTTTTGTGCTCTGCGTTTATCAGCTCTCTGATTCTGGTGGTAAATCCTGCTAAAGTTGGAAACAATCACAGGGACTGGCAGGGCAATGACCAGGACGCCACTCAGGGAACAGATGGAGCCAAAGATCTTTCCTGCAATTGTTTTAGGCACCATGTCTCCATATCTGAGAGAGAGAGAAAGAGAAAGAAGAAGAAGAGAGAAAAAAAGGGGTGGGGGAGAGAGAGGAGAGAGTAGCAGGGTATAAGGAAGAGAGAGAGACCATTTGGGAAATAAGTCAGGATTCCCAGCCAAGCATCCATCCATCCATCCACCCATCCACCTATCCATTCATCAGTACACCTATCCATCTATTTATCCATTCATCCGACAATTATCTAAGATGCTTACTATGTGCCAGGTTCAGTAATATAACCCAGGAGGGAGTGAAACAGACAAGATTCCTGTGATCATGGAGTGCACCTCCTTTAAGGGGAAGACCATATATGAGAAAATGAATGCATTACAAATCCATGGCCTGTGGTTGCTACTATGAGGAGAACAGCTGTAGATGCTGTGTCAGATGGTGGGAATGTGGTTGGCCACGCCCTCTCCAAGGTTCTAACATTTAAGCTGAGATCTGAATGTAAACGGTCCAGCTGTGCAAAGCATCTGGCGTGGGTATGCCAGGGAGCAAAAACAGGAAGTATAGAGACCTGGAGGTAGTATGAGGGAACTTGGCCTGTTCTAGCAATTATCAAGAGGCCAGTGGGACACAGTGATGGAGGGGTACAACGTATCAAAGGAAGTGGAAGAGCCAGGCAAGGCCAAACCACACAGTGCCTGGCGGGTCAGGGTGGGGAGTACAGATTTATTCCAAGTACAGTGAGGAGCCATGGTAGAATTTTAAACAGAAGAGCAATATGATGATGAAAATAATAAGCTCACTTTCTTCTCATGTGGAGATTTACAATTTACAAAGCATTTTTATTTATTCACCTCTCATAGAGCCCATGAGCCCTATGAACTCGGTACAGATGCAGGGACTGAGGATCAGACATACCACATGGATTTCCCTTCTTAACTCAGCTGGCATCAAAATCCACTTCTCCTGCTTTCTCCATATTCCATTAACCACACTATCAGAGGGAGACAGAGAGCTCTGAAACAGCTCCTTAAGCCATGAAGCCACACTGGGATGCTGCCTGCTCCTCTCAGAGCTTGGAGAAATTCTCCTAAGTACTTTATGCTCTGGCAGCTGCCCCCAGGGACCAACATGGCCTGGTTCCTGCTCAGCCCTGGGCAGCCCAGCTAGAGCCTCTCCTCTAATCAATAAGATGCTCTCCACAGTAGTTAAGTGTTTAGCTTCCTCTTTACTAAGATAATTTAAAGACCTTATTAAGCAAAGAGCTGTGATAACTACTCTGACCAAAGCCTGAAATATCATCCTCCTCTGTCTTTTTGCCCTCTAGATGTCTGGAGCATAAACAGGCTTGGCATGACCAGGAATGACAGCAGCAAAAATAGTGAGACCCAAAGTCATATTTCCTGCATCCTTGTCTATTAAAGGAAGATCAAGTCCATCATTATCTTACCATGACATACACAGCTCATAAACAATAAGTATTATTATTTTTATCCAGGCATTCTGGAAACTATAGTCTTTGTTGGAGGGAAACTCTAAAAACATAGTTAATTTTCCCAAGTTCAAATAATCCTGGTCATGGGGGAAAGTGGGCTTCTCTTGAGATATATCCTGTTAGCTGGGATTTTCAGCTGGCATCACAGAAAGACAGACAGGGAGCACATGGCCACAGGTGAAAATGGAGGAAAATGAAGTAAAGCAGAAAGGCCAATTTCAGAGCCTGAGGCTGGTGAAGACGTTAAGGATGACAAGGTTTTTAGGGGAGTTGTGTCTACTGTAGAGCAGGCAGTTGGTCTGCTATTATCAGAAGAGAGAACAACTCCACGTCCAGGAACTTCTTCCTTTTCCACCAAGAAGAATAATATCACCTTAGAAAGGCTGGGACAAACACTGATAGGAAGGATGCAGGGAGCTTGACTTTGGAGATTTATTGTGGGCAAGTGCCCAGATGGATTCAGTGAAATCCTATCACACATCCATGTGCATCTGAGTCCAGGGGTAAGACAGATGTGCAGATGGGCTTGCACAACCAGTGCTCATGATCTTTGAGAAATCACAGGACAACACAGAAATACCAAGAGAGTAGAGACAGAACACTGATGTCTCGATATTTCAAAGAAGGAAAAAAGAGGTCTGAGAAACCACACAGCATAAGCTTGGCATTCATCAGTTCTGTCGTGAGATTGCTGGCAGAATTTGAGAGCAAAGTAATAAGTGGACAGCTTGTGAACACTTGGAAAATTATCTGTATCAGTTTGCTATGCATCCATCTTGCCAAATTAACTTATTTCTTGTTTTGAGAGTCAGATTAACTGGATGGTAGATCTGGAGATTGTTCTGGACTTACTGCATCATGATTTTACCAAGTTGTGTTGTCACCCCAGTTCTTTATACCTTGATAAGCTAGAGGAATGTGGCATGGATATGTTGTGGTTAGTACAGGCAGAGTACCTATTTTTATTTTATTATTTATTTATTACTATCTTTTTAGAGTAACTATTTTTAGGCTTCTGAAACTTACACAGTGGTCCTGTATAAGCATTGGGAAGTTCACAATTTTCACGTTAGAAGGGTTTCAATTAGTGAAAGAGTAAATATTAAATAAAATATATAATAGGTCTAAAGTTAAGTCACCACTGGTATATTCTAGAATTTTTTTAAACAACTTGTATAAACGGAGAGGGAGGCAGCATGACTGATAATTGAAAGAAGAGACTAGAGTCAGACCTGGGTTTGAACTCTAGCCCCTTATCACTTTCCAGTTAAATGACTCTGGGTAACTTGCTTAATCAGTTACCTGTAAGGTGGGCTTTAATCTCTAGAACTGATGTGATAATTCAAAAGAAACAGTTAACTCAGTGTTAAGCAACTGTAAATTCTCTACAAATAGCCAGTGTAGTGGACAGATATCATTTTGTCTGCAAATGGTCTACCCCACCCAGCACCTGTACTCCTCCCCTGCAAGGAGGACATAAACTTTGTCCAGAGGAGCTGCTCTGGTCTTACAGATCTTTCTTTATGCTCCAACTCGCACTATCACAGAATAAATTTACAACATGGCATCTGACCCAAGCAGCAGGATCAGTGAGTTCCTTTTCTGGACTTATTTCTTTTTCAGATGTATTGAGATACAGCTTAACACACCACAACATTCAACCATTGAAATTGTGTGGATTTTTAAAAAAACATATTTAGTTGTTTAAGTCTTTATCAAGTTAACTATCATAAACACAGATTAACAGACAAATCAAAAATCATATAAAAATAATTACAGTATAGCAAATCAAGGTATACTTTTACATACATTGGCCATGTTAATTACTGTAACTTTTTTCTCTATTTTTTCTATTGTCTTTTATTTGCACTTTCTTTATCTATTGGAGTCATCATATAAGAGAAGCCATGTGGTATTTAAGTTTGCATGTCTGATTTATTTCACTTAACATTTGGTCTCAAGTGTGCCCATCTTCCTACAAATAACTCATTTATCCTTCTTTATAGTAGAGTGATATTAAATACCATTGTGTATTCATTCATCTTTATCCATTCATCTGCTGATGGACATATGGGCTGCTTCCAAGACTTAGCTATTATGAATTGTGCTGTTATAAACATAGGCATGTGTATGTCCCTGCAATATGATGTCTTTGGGAAGCTACCTAGAAGAGGGATCACAGGATGAAAAGGAATTCCTATTTTTAGTTTTTGAGGAATCTCCATAACTGATTTCCATAGTGGTTGTACCAGTTTACACTCTTAAAAATCATAAAGCATTTGTTATTATTTGAATGCTTGAAGGTAGCTATTCTTTCCAAAGTGAGATAGAATCTCAGTGTTATTTTAAGTAATCACATATTTTAACAGCTTCTAGTGCATTTATGCAGTTGTACTTTTATCACATTCACCACCGTTTTAACAGTTTTATAACTTCCAAAGAAAACATCATATTGATTAGCAACCACTGACTACTCCACACCCCACCTTTCCGTTCCTGGCAATCATTAATTCTATCCCTACTGATCTACTTTAGACATCTCAGATAAAGAAGTTTACATGATATGTGGCCTTCTGTGTCTGACTCTGTTCACTCAGCATAATGTTTTCAAGGTTCATCCATGCAGCATGTGTCAATACGTAATTTTAAGTCTCAATAATACCCAATTGTCACATTTTGCCACTTTTTTTTTGGTATAGGGGATCAAACTCATGACCTTGTGCCACCGAGTTAAATCTCCAGCCATTTTGCCACATTTTGATAACTCATTTATAAGTTAACAGACATTTGGGTTATTTTCACTTTTTATCTATTATGAATGTTTCTATGAATAGTTGCATAGACGTTCTTGTGTGGGCATGAATTTTCATTTCTCCAATAGAGGATAACTCTGTTTAGCAGTTTGAGGCATTGTAAAACTGTTTTCTAAAGTGTACCATTTTGCATCCCACTACCAATGAATGAGGGGCCCAACTGCTTCTTATAGAAGACAATATTTGCTACTGTGTATCTTTTTTATTATAGCTGTCATAGTAGCTATGAAGTGGTATTTTATTGTGGTTCTGATTTGCATTTTCCTGATGGCTAATGATGTTGGATACTTTTTCCCTTTCCTAGAATTGTACCTTTGGGAGCAGATCAATCTCTTTTGAAGAAGTTAAAGCTGTAACAAGTAAAGCTCTGGAACTGTTGGCAACTAAACTTTCTGCTATGGAAAAAAACAGATTATAATTGAGAGGTTGAAGGCTGACATATATAGAAAAGGGAGTTGGGAAGGAAAAAAATGGTCTTGTTGAGGGCTAGCTTCATCCTTAACCATCTTGTGACTTAGCTGTTTGGTACTTTGACCCTGCGTAACAAAAAATTATCATTTTTGCTTTACTTTATTGTTTTTGTTTTGGATTTTATGATAATGATGATGGGGGCACTGTTATTGCTGATTGTTTTAAAACAGTTTTTTTCCCTCAAATTTCTAAATGGCAAGGCTGTTATGAATTGGAGTCCTTAGGAGTCAAAAGGATTTTAACAGGTTGTAATTATGCTGAAA